CTCCCTTTCCTGCCTCTCCTCCCCAGCAATTTTTGGGGGGTTCCCTAGAGCACTCACAGTATCTTTCCTTAGCCATCTGTGATGACAATATGGCAATTATTTTGAATTTTTTCTTTCACACTACAATATACAGTCTTTCACATCTCCAAAAGCTCAAAACGCCCATTCACGAGACAATAAATTCAGGAAACTGGGGAAGATAAAAAACATTGCAAACAAACTTTTTTCTCCCAAGTTACAGAAGGCACAAAGGGAAGATGGAGAATGTGGTTTTAGCAAGAAATAATATAAAAAGAAAATAGCGACATCGATAAATGATAATGTGGGGATTTTTTCCCCTCACTGCTGACTTCTGGTTGGATAAGTCAATCCACCAGAAACATTCATTCTTCCCACAGGCTTATACGCTATGGGCAGTTGAAATTCATTTATGATTGCTGGTAAAAAAGAAAAAGGGAAAAAACCCTCAAATACAAGCAGATTGAAACATTAAACATTATATGTAGATACCCACATTGTATGCAGGGTATATGTAAAATGCAGTTAATTGCCACATGAGTTTCTGATTCTAAGATATTACTTTACTAAAGTCCTATGATAGAATAATAGTTGACATGGATACACTGAACACTATACACTTTCTGTATAAACTATGTATATCCATATCAATCCTATGTAGCATATATCCATTAATTTAAATATCTGTGTTGATTTAATTTGTTCAGTATCTCATATCCAATTTTATTTAAGTTTTTATTTGGATACAAAATGTGTTGCTTTCTCATTGACAATGCCTGAGGATAAGTACCCATGTCATCTTTTACTGTAGTTCATTTGGTGATACTTAATCTGCAAAATAAAGCAGCATATTACAATCCAAAAATCTGAGACTCCTTTCACTGCAGTTAGTCTTATTAAGCTGATCAAAATTCAACCAAAAGCTAGTGAATGTATATTTTAAATCTAGACCACGTCACTCATAATATATTTTGGAGATTTTAGATCAGTATTTCCAGATAGTGTTTGTTAACATCAATCCATTTTTGAATCAGCATAAAAGTACTTTTTGTCATATCCTTTCATAAGAAAGCATCAAGATATACCCAAAGTGACAATATAAATAACAGTTGTGAACCCATTAGTAATGACAAGTATCCAGCAATCATGTGCCTTGATCACAGGTATGTATGATCTACAAAGAAGTTTCATACACCAAATAGCCTGTGTTCCTATGATCTCATTTACATTGTCCACTTGTGGATATCTTCCAGTAATGGTAGTTTCTACATTATTGATTACATTTAGTGGAAGCTCCCTGTTTAGATTAGTTTGTCTAGCTGAGGCCTTCAAATACATGTGCATGATCACATTTATAAGAAAGAACAAACTGACACAACATTTGCACTGGATAATTATGTCAACCAATTGTCTGATTCAGAAATTCTAGGTTACTGATTGAGATCCTAGGAATCCCTGGTTACCAAGGTTTACAACCATGCTAATCAAGCAAATGAAGCTAAGTAACAAATTAACTTGACTGGAAATGTAATCAAAAACAACAATTATATCTATTATATACAAACTGTTCTAATAAGATTCCGAAAGCAAATAGTTTTCCAAGTAAAGATAATTAGGAGGAAAAAAATCAGCTCTTTTGTGAAATAACAGAAGCATAGTAATCACTATTTCGATAGATGAATAATAATTACTATCTACGGACAGGGAGAGATCAAAATCAAGAAGGCATTTAGACTGCATCCCAGTCATATGGGGACTATTTAGGTGTGACAAACTCCAATGTATCATGCAGGAACATTTCAGTGAGATGTCAGCCACGGAATGGGTGATGTTCTCTCCCACAAAACCAGCAGCTTTCCCCAGAGCAGCAGGCAAACAATTAATAATATTCCACACAGCACTCTTGACCCACACAGTTGGGTCATTGAAAGGTACCTTCAGCATCACTGGAACTAATCAGGAACACACAACCGTATAATACTGAGACATCTCATCAATATGACAGCTGCACTGAAATTTGGGACTTTAAGAAAATAGCCATTATCTTATGTCAAAGTCCAAATGTTTATTCTGCAAAATCTCACAGGAAAAGCATATTTTTAAATACTAGCCATTATTTTCAAGGGGAAAAAATGCTGCTGAGGGAAAAGCTTCCTTTCAGACAAGCTAGTTTTCTCCATGTTGGATTGTTATTGTTGTTTCTAACAAGGGAAATGTTGAAGATAGGCTATCTAGAGCCCAAAGCCCAGGAGAAAGAATATGATGCTTTTCTATGTCAACAAAATGTGTATTCTGCTAGGCCTTAGATATCATCTACAGAAACAACTTCATACAGTAAAATGCTCTTTTTTTTACTGTTTAGGATGGAAATAGATAAATTGGCAAGTTGAGAAACAGGGATTCTTCTGAAAGTGAAAGGAGCTCTGGTTTGGGGGGGAAATGAAAACATCTCACGCAAAGGAGGAGGGGACACTTGTAACAAGAGAGTTTAAAGATGCAAGTCAAGTTTTCAGTTTCACCTTCTGGGAAGCCATTGTATGAGCAAAGAAAAAGTAAGATCTTCATTTATTAAGATGCCATCTTTAACAGGATTCTCATACACACCCAGTACTTCCAAAATAACACCAAAAAATATGCTTTAAATATTATATTAAACATGACCCACTATCATTGTTGAGCGTATTCCATTCATTTCAGTACTAATCATGCTAGGAAAAATCTGACTTTAATTCTTTTCAAAGCATGTCTGAAGGAGAACAAAGTGGCTTATCATTTTTTTCCCCTATAGTTTGAATGAAATCCCTCAGCATTGTGTTTTGATTCTAATAACAGCCGTTTCAAAACAATCATTACAGAAAAACTCTACTTCCAGAAAGTTTTCTACAATCTGAAAAGGGGCTTTATATTTTGAGGGTTTAGTATCTTTCAACCACTAAAAAAAGAATTATCTTCATTGCTTCAGTGTTTTTTTATAAATAATATCATATTATGCCTTCTGAAATTATTTATCTTGGCTGATATAAAGAATCTATATGAGATCTCTGCCAGGTCAGGAGTCTGAACACTTTACCCTTTGCTGGAAACTGGATTGAAATCAGTGGTGGCCTTTGCTTTTTCAGAAGAGAGTGAGGGGAGAGTAATCAGATTGATTAATTAGGTAGTCAGCTAACATCAGGCCTACCCCTAATTAAGAAATTTAAGAAAATTAAATGAAGATGATAAAATAATGAGTATTTTTTAATGATACGATAATTTTTGCAAGTGCTGAGGCAATATTGTTTTATGATATATTTTCCTTAATGTTTTAAAGACTTGGATGCAGTTAAATACAATAACTAAACACTGAATTCTTTTCAATAAGATTATATGAAAAAGTATATTGCAATGCCCTTTTGGGGAGTGATAAAAAGTAGAAATTCAAGAACAAGTTATTTAACAGGAGATGTAGATTTAGTTATTTTTATTGTCCAGATGCCCTAAGTTGTGAGAAAAAAAATATCAAAAAATGACATATCATCTGGTGTCAACATTTTATTTGCAATGTTTCCTTCTTAGCTGTCTTGGAGGAGGTAAGTAAAAGGCAATGACAGTTTGTTGGAAATTGCTCATATTTATCAATTTATTTAATATAGGTTTCACCTACATAATGACAAGAACTGGAGCCTCTGGCTGGCTAGATTCACATATAACACTAAGCCATTATATGGTTAGTTAGTTGGGGTTATTAGAAGGTTATGTGCTTCATAAGACATGAGTTTATGGTTTCTCATTAATGTGTTAACATGGTAATGTGTGATTTATTCAATAAATTTTGTTTAGATTTGCAAAGGCCACTGAAACCTACTTCTTAAACAGCTCAAAATTTTAGCAACTTTAAGAAGCAACTGGCTGGGGCATTCTCTACCAGAAGATTCACAAATGTTGTCCAAGAGATTTCAGAAACATTGTGTTTCAAGCTTACCTGCTCAGTTGGCAGCCGGATCATAATTTGACTCCAATGCCAAGACAACTATAAGAATTACCCTTATAAAAATTACCCTTATAAGAATTACCCTTATAAATAGAATATTTTGATGAAATCATAGTTTAAATGAAACAAGGGTTTTGGTCTTAAGGCAGCTACCTCAGTGCTAACTTGTGCTGTTGTCTCTGTCGCTGTTGCCAGACCTGGCATGTATTACTGAAACCTGGCTGGGCACAGAAGGAGGAGTCCCCCTTGTAGAGATGTGCCCAGAGNCAATAGTTAAGAATATTTCTTTTGTTCACTTTTTGTTTTGTCTTTTGATACTGCACCCCCTCCCGTGATTGTAAGCCGCCCTGAGTCCCCTCAGGGAAAAGGGCGGCCTATAAATCTTAATAAAATGCTAAAATGCTAAAAAAATGCTAAAAAATGAAATATTCTTAACTATTGTATTCAATTGTGACCCCTGGAAAATTTAGTTTGCTTAACCATAGCAGGCTACAACTGTTTTGTAAAAATAAAACTTCAGGTCAGCTCAGCATGTAAACAGCTCTTCAGGAATAAAGCGCCTGGGGTCACCCAGAGCGAATTGGGCAGCCATATTCATTTTCTGAAATCTGAATTTGCTTGTGGGAAGCCAACAGGAAGGTTACAAATGGTGATCATGTGACAGTACCATTCTGCAACCGTAACTGCAAGCCAGTTGCCAAGAGCTTGGAGCACAAATCATGTGACCACAGCGACACCGCAATGGTCAGAAGTTCAAGGACCTGCCTTCTAAACATTATTAGTTCATGCTGTTGCAGCTTCAGTCACTACAAGTGGTTAGTAAGCAAAGTCTACCTGTTATTTCAAAAAACTTTTGATTTGTAAGGCAATTGTAGATCACCATGTGACTATATTGTTGTATCACTGATTCAATTTTATACTTTATTGTACCATATGTTTTTTCTTCATTGTTCATCGCTTATAAACTTATATAAATAATTGAAACTCATCATAAACCAGCAAAATACAAATATACTGTCAGCTCAAATGTATTTTATTTGTTCATTTCTTGCACTTGAAGTATTCTTCGATGACATCTTTGGCCTGAGATTCTTTTCCATAGTCCTACAACAAAACAATATATTAGTATTCCAGTAAATTATTGATTTAAACAATTACATAGTGACCATAGTAGTAAGTATTTAGTGATCTATTATAATTGCAGAATCAAGAAAAAAGGCAATTTAGGTTAGCAGTTGTTAACCATATCCTTTAGGGTAAAAGAAAAATCCTTCTATAAGATATCAATGTGGCCGTTACTGGGACCTCAATGACTACAAAGTCTTCAAGGCTCGTGCTCTGGCATTATTATTGCCAGCAATGATCTTCTGCAGAACATTTGTAAGTTAAGCAGATTTTGTCTTACTGGCAGCTCCTTGGTATACTAAACAACTGTGGTAATTTAGAAGAATGCAAAGGCAATAGAACATTAGAAAACATTATTTATCTGCCACACTTGTTGTCTTGTTATACAGACTAACATCTCCCAAAAAGCGCTTTTCCACTTTTTTCTACTATTTATGAGCAACAAAGCAACTTCTATATGGCAGAAATAAAAGTAGTTTTCAACTTATGACAATTGAGTTAGGAATTAGTTTTAGGAACTAGCACTCATTAATTGGGGGACCATTTGACTGTGCCTGATTTTACACTTTTTTGGGGTCACGACCATTAAAATGAACTTATTCAGTGGGTGCTTTTTTGCCATAAACTGGCAAAAAATACCCAGTTACAGTCCTATGACAGTCCTATTAAAGCTGTTTGACTGCTACAAAAGCTTTAAATGTGAGCTGCCTGTCACATGCCCAAAATTCAATCACATGACTGATAGGTTATAATTGGTTGCCAGAACTCTGGAACTGAGTCCTAAATAGCTTTGAGAAGGTCCATATCTTTGAACAGTCACTAAATGACCAGTCATTAAGCAAGAACTACCTGTACTTTAAATGTAGTACTCAAAAGGATATGTAGTACTTGCAGTTTTAAGGAGCCTGTACAAGTATACAATTGAATAAACACAAATAATCTAAAATAAAAAGAACATGTTATCTTACTTTAACAACCACACAACTGCAGCCCACAACTTTACGAGGTTTTCCTTCTCTGTCGATCTTGCAGAGACCTACCCACTCACCAAGCTTCTTGTTATCATCAACCTGTCAAGAGAGATTTGCATTTTGTTAGAAGTGCTAACAATACAGTGTAATAAAGACAGAATCAACAGCAGCTGTACACTCAGATCAAAAGGGTAACAATTTGTGGTTGTTTTCCTCACAATTCTCAGTAGAGGGAGCCAAGTTATCATCACCGTACAGCATTACTAACTTGTTTTAACCAAGAAATCCCAAACAGTTGCATAATTTTACTATAAACTACTTGTCGCACATTACCAATTCTAAGTAAAAGACCTGTTACCTTTATCAGATTGATTTGATGTTCAGCACAAAGAGCTTCAACCAGCTTCACATACATAGGTTCATCACAATTGGATGCAAGAACGCAAAGATGNAAATTTTGATGTTTGGCAACAGATTCATATTTATGATGCTTTCAGTGTCCTGGGGTCATATAATTGCCTTGGGTGACCTTTTGACAAAATATAAATTTTTTGCTGCCCCCCCCCCCCCATCAATGGTGTCCCTCTTTACCAATCTGAAAATCTGGTCACCTTAGTCGTATAACTACATGAAGTCACTGTTAAAAGTTAAAATATTATAACAATCACAAAATAGATGCAATCTGTATTATAGATTCCCTAGCCCTGGTGACACATAACCACGTCTTGAGGGACTTACTGAACATCAATAGGGGTGGAACCAGCCTAACCCAGGGAGGGGGGCAGCAGGAGAATGTCCCACAAGGTAAGTGCCACAGCTAAGAAGGTCCACCTCCCCCAAATTTAAGTCCCTGGAAAATGGTAACTACCTTCTCTATCAGATCTAAAGGGACAATCTGATATAATTGGCAGCTTTTGCTCATGCATGTATTTCATGGTCAGATAGAATGTTTTGCAACTGTAATCAACAACTTATTGAAGCATATTCATTTTAAGAATATTACTAATGATTCAACATTATTGTATTGCTGTAGGGAAGTCTAAAGAAAAAGCATTGAACTGTTTTACACTGTATGGTTTAGGTTTCTCTTGCAACCACATGTATCAACCACTATGCTGGTTAGTTTTAATCCAACATTTCCTTGGTACTCTGGAACAATGTAAAATTTTAACAGCAGAGGGGGAACGAAGCCAAAAAAATCGATGTCACTGATGTCAAGCCCCATACTACGATTAATTATTAGAAATTTCACTAAGTTTTAATGCAAATATTAGGTAAGCTAAAGAATCCTGGAAAATGTTAATACACACCTCCACCACCCCTTTTATTAGTTTCTGAAGGTAGATTCTCTATGAATGGTTTCAATTCTAAACTTTTTCCAGCTCAGACTATAATGCCGCTCATGAAGTTACTAATCTTTCTTATCTGTTATGTCTGAAGTGCCTCTAATTTCTTTTTCAAATTCTTCACAATCTAGCCCATTTAATTCCTACAAATCAATTTTAAAGACTCATAAATTTAGCCCGGAGGTAATAGTATGCTAGTGTAGTAACATGCTATTGCAATATCTCATTGCCAGAATCAGCCCATTTTCAAGGCAACCATAAAACCACAATACAGAGGGAACTCTATTTTCTTCAGTATCAAGCAATCTTTTGTCAACTTGCCAGCTATTCTGCTGAACAAGTTCTTGTTCACTTCGCTAAATTGTAAACATGCTTAGTGAATTAACAATTTTTTTCAACCTGTTTAAAATTGAAGAATACATTGTAAGAGTTTAAAAACAAATTGTAAAAGCTTGAATCAAACAAGTGACTGTTATGTCCTGCATCAAGCTTAATCTTAAAACAACTTGGTCAAATAGGATACGTCAGTGAACCAACCCTTAGGTAAGTCCAAAGAGAACAGTCTAGAGCTGCTATTGAATTATACTATTTCCTGTGATGGTTTGAAGTTTATAGTCCTTTCTCCTTATAGTTCAGAAAGTTGTGGAGGTTATGAATCTCCGTAATTGTTTCCTGATTTATTACCAATTTAAAAAAATCTAATTGCACCATCACACCACCATGTAGTTTCTGAACAATTTAAATGTTTCAAAATAAAATGCAAGTTCTATGGTTAATGCAAATGTTGCTATTAATCAACAGCTTGTAATTTTTAAGGCTGTGGAAAGGATTGCCCGGGAAATTCACAAAACTAGGATTTGTCTGTCTATAATGTAAGTCTAGATAAATTTAATATTAAATTTATAAATATTGTGCATGCATGAGAATGGGGAATCCCTGAAGCAACTATCCTAAATAGAATAGGGGAAATGGCGGTGTTTCATTCACAATACATTTTGAATGTTTTGAGTAGCTCCAATTTCATGTTATCCTTCTTTATGTAATCATTTGTTATGGCACATATCACAAACTTGGTTTTATACAAACGACCCATTTCATTTTAGTTTCCCAACTGAATACTATTTACCTCTCCAAAATTCTTGGACATCACCCTTATTTCATTTACAAATTAATGAATACTATGAATTTCCATTCATAGTATTTCAGATATTGAGTGCCTACTCTCTAGGGCTAAAAATGTTTTTCAAACCTAGTTTCTGTACAAAAATCTCTTTAATCAAAAGGATTCTTTTTATGGAATTGAATCTTCTATACAGAATTCATGCCAAGAAATATAGGAATGATGTAAAAACACAAACATAAACCCTAGTTCTATAGTTCATTGTGGTTTGCACCACTCCCAAATTTGTAATTTTAAATAAAATATTAACAAAATATGGAGTTCAAATTCAAGTTACTCCAATTCAGCACAAAAATTGCTACTTTGGCTGAGCAATTGAGAATCACTCATCAGTGATTATCATGGGACTTCTCTGTAGCTCAGTCAATTTGAAATTGACATCCGGGAGTCTCTGTTACCTCGTAGGGTCCCTGCTCCGGAGCTTGTCGGGTGTGAGTCCCTGCTGATAAAGTTGGACCTCAAGGGTCAAGTGGGTTTGCTGCTAACGTACCTGCCTCCCAACTGCGTTGCAGCATCCCTCCCCTCGCTCCTCGAGTCAGTAGCCGAGCTGGCAGTTGAGTTCCCCAGGCTTATAGTTCTGGGGGACTTTAATCTGCCATCGCTCGGTGAACGCTCTGACGGGGCGCAGGAGTTCATGGCTTCCATGACAGCCATGGGCTTGACCCAGGTAATTC